TTTTGCCCTGTGAGGTACCATTTGGGCAGATGTTTGTTCAGTTTTCTCTCAGAATCCATTAGCAATGGTTGCCCATAATTCATCCAAGCAATCTGTTCAAGGACTTCCATTTCCTTGTAACCGGAATATATTTAAAAGAGGAGATTTCTGAATTATTTTCTTTCCTGATTTCTCTATTTGTAATAGGTTATGAAGTACTTAAAACTATTGCTATGTTCTCGTGTATGCTGTCTTGAAACTAATTAACCTGAATTTGTCTTGAATTACTTACACATCCTATTTTACAGATCACTGACCACTTTTAATTTTTTTGCTTCTGTCATGACCCTTTTCAGCTCATTACCTCTTTGATGTAATGTAGCCATGAAATAAGGCTGATATAATACTGTATAAAAGGAAACAATATACTAAGATGTATTAAACACAACACTGGTGATGGATTACTTCATGGGCATGACATTTTGTTCCCTCACATTCAGCAGTGTTTAACGAACCTTCTCTAGTACCCAACTAAAGAACTTTACTTTTATTTGTACTTTTAAGTACTGTCTTGTAAGATTGAGAAAAAACAAATGAGTTGGAAAGAATGTGAAGAAAGCATGCGTGTGCTTTTATTGCAACAACAAAATATTGATGCCCATATTGTTCTGCCAGTCCTTAGTCCTACATACCTGTTTCCATTCTTTAGGACATGGTGATGAAGAGCTTTTCTTCTTCCATACAGATGACTGTTCTTCCTGTAGTGCAACACCTTGCACTTTTTTTCCTTTTATATTTAATCCCATTTTAAATCTTTTTTTGTGAGTCAAGGATATTTTAAATTTTAATTTCTCTGAGAAAGTATCTTTCTCTTTTGATCATGACAAGAAATGTGCTGTAGAAAACATCAAACCAGTTGTGAGAGAGAAAGTAGATTTGAGCCTGCTGTAATTTAGTGCTCAGGGCACTGTGTGGGACTGCCTGAAGTTCTATTTCTTCCTAGTCTTAAATGATGTAGGATAAAAATCAGTGACTCCAGTTCTTATGTGTCTTCAGCAAGTTTTCCAACTATAACTATACCACTGAGTTAATTACACTTAAAAAAATGAAATTGGATTAGAGAATTTTATCACTAGACCTATGAGGTATAAATGTTGCTGATAAAATATTAGTTTAAAAATATAATGCAGCATTTTAATGGGAAAAAATGTTCAAATATAGTGCTTAAATAATTTTATTTACAAATAAAGAGAGGTCATTTATGAATGAATTTTAGCAGATAAAATTGAACTGCAGTGCCCTTGAAGCTATGGATGTGTTTATTAAAGATCAGCAAATGCTGTTTTCTGCTGGAGAACAAAAGCAACTCAATGCAGAGGAATTTTTTTTGTAAGCTATTTCAAAATAAAACAGCAGTGAAGACAAGTATTTTATGCCAGTAAAACTGAAGTTTGTTGTAGAGATGCCTGTCTTGAAACATAATTTGCAGCTGTGAGCTTTAAACTGCAGATATGGCACATTGAAAGAGTCATGTTACTTTGAGTAGGGTCCAAAACATTAGGCTGAACAGGGAGTACTTTAAGGCAAATACACTGGCTAGGGACCTGCTTAAGTAGTCAACAATAAAACTTATAAAAAGATTCATCTGCCATTCTAGCTTCCTCTAGAGAGGAATGTTTTCTGTGGTATTGGCAGTTTTTGAGCTGGTTTGAGAAAGTAGGTTTCAGTGTTTTTTCTTTTTTTGAAAAACAGAGCAGTGTCTATGCTCTCTTAAAAGTCTCAGCTACAGCTACTGTGATGCTTGTACCACTGATCTTCTTTTCTCTTCCTCCCACCACATGGTGAACATGCACATGAACACCCACACACTCCTCTTCCTGAAGCCAGTGTCTAGAAAACTAAGAGACATGAAAATCAACATTTGATTTCTTCTTCTGCCCAAGTGAATTAAAATTTGTATTCCCCTACCTCTCAATGTAAATACTGAAATCCTATTGAGATGCAATTCCCTATGAACTTTCTGCATGCTTTTTATTACAAAGCATATGAGCTCTAACAATGCTATATAATTTTGGAGAGTTATTTTGACTTTTCAGTCCTCAGATTTTTATATCAGTTATTTAGAATGGCCACTATATAGACAGTTTTTAAATGAAAAATCAAGATGAATACAGCTAGTTAAAATGCAAAATATACATATACATGCAAAGACTGAGTTCTCATTTAAAGTTTCTTATTTGAAGACACCTTTGTCTGGACTGAGATTTGCCTGCTAGAGTTATGTATGCCATCTCTTTAACACAAAGACAGAACAAGGGAATGTGCTGAACTTTGATTCAAAGCTATTTATAATGGTCAAAAAAAGCTGACTTTAAAGGCTGAGAGAAATCCAGATTAATCTTATTGATTCTGAAAGCAAATAAGGTATTGCTGGGCGTCATCTTGGATCACATCAGCAGTTAGATGAAGTGTAGTGTACCTATTGGATTTTAATAGTAATAGATGAGCTTCAGTGGGACTTTGGTTGAAATAGTGTGATGGCAAATACTAAACTATTTAACAAGTCACTCTGCATATTTCATTTGTTACCTGATCATCTGTTACAAACTAAAGTTCAGAGTTTTTTTCATGCAGATTCTTCTAAACGTATGTAACAATTTCTAGCAAGAGAATTGTTCTGGGTGTAAGCTGTATAAAATGCTCCAGAGCTCTGTTCTTGCAGTGTTCCTGTAAAGCATGCTCTGGTACACAGCAAAAGTCACCAGTCCAGGTGGGACAGTGATGCTCAACATCTGAACAACAGCAAAACTCAGGGACAGTGGGTTTTCAAGTCTGTAGTTCTACTGTTTGGAAATACTTCCTGCTGGTAGCATGGCTTTTAGGCAGATGGTACTGGCATAGTTTTTATGTGTTGTCATTCACAAAAATGTATTGATAAGACATTCACACATGCTGAAAATGTGAAAAGACTCAAAGTCTTGGAAAAATAAAGAAATGTTGGATTCCAAACAAGTGAGAATGATTAAGGCTTTATACCATGACTGAATTTTCTTTCCCTTAGACATACCCAGCAAACACTGAATAGATTTGTCTTCCCACACTACATACACACAGGGTGTGTAGTAATGGGACAGGGCAGAATGGCTTTAAAGTGAAAAAGCATAGGTTTAAGTTCCATATTAGAAAGAAATTCTTCACTGTGAGGGTAGTGAGGCACTTGAACAGGTTGCTCAGAGAAGCTGTGGATGTCTGATTCCTGGAAGTGCTCAGGTTGGACCTTGAGCTTTGAGCAACCTGGTTTAGTGGAAGGTGTTCTTCCAAGGAGTTGGAAGTAGATGATTTTAAAGACCCAAGCTGTTCTGTGATTTCTGCACTGTAAACCTTTTGTGACATCCATGACAGGCTGAAGATACCTACATGTGGATGTCTGCTGACATGACCAATGTTTGTATCTCATTATAAACATGGAAATCTAGTCTTGCCTCCATCTAGCAAAGGACCTGGATATCCTAAAAATCCTGTGTCAGCTTTACATGCTCAGAGGTCTTAGGATATCTCAGTGTCTTAAATGGCAGAAGTGACCTACATGGGGACAATTGCTTTGAACCCAGGGATAGCCTAATTATATGAACAATTCACCTGCACAACTGCTTTGTATATAATTCAGAATAAATTTAATTGCTGTCTAGACTGCATTTTCTACTTCTCCTGTAAGGGAGGTTTTGACATTCAGTTGCAGCATAGAGCTACACTAATTTTAAGTGCTTTAAGCTTAACCTGATCCTGTTTTTAAAGACCGAAAAGTTTATTGACAATCACCACAGACCTTTCTCCCTAATTTTATAGAAATGAAAATATTCTGAAACTAATTTTTCATGTTTAATTTTATTTTTAAATCCCTTAAGCTTTCATTCAGTACACAGGACACATTTTTTCTTTAATTCCATTACTCCGTTTTTTATACAGTCTACCATTTAAGAAAACATAGGTGAACAACTTGATTTTAAATCTTCATTTAAAAACAAATACTGCAGGTAAAACTTAAATCATGCTTGATTTTTCCTCACTTACATAAAGTGCAGTGCTGTGATGGTGCTGTAATATACATTATAAATTAACAAGCAAACAGTACTTTTAAATATGACCACTCAGAACAGGTGTTTTTATCTTCTGTGCAGTGAATGTAAAGATCTGAAATTTCATTTGTGTGCATATTTTAAGAAATACCTGTAAGCGGTCCTAATACCACAGTTTTTGTTCGGAAAAGGAAATATCTGACTGAATAGTGGGAAATTTAAGGGAATAAGCCAGAAATTAAAATAAAGCTTTTTTTTCTACTTGTAATGGAGAAAACATTGTTTATACCAAATAGTTGGCTGTCCTATGGAGTTTACTAGTTATTAGTCCAGTGATGATGTAACTTAAGAAATGCATGCTCATCTTATCCTAAGCAAAATAAATTCTGTTATAACTGGGTTTGATTATGTTTTACAATGTGAAAACATAGTTTTCTACTGTAACAGAACTCTGTATCTTAATGGCAACTTTTATGAGGGGTACAGTTCTTTTTCTGACAGATTGGAATGAACATCTTCAAGACAGGAACAATATTTCACTTCCCCACTTCTTGCCAAAAATGGAAAATGTGTTCACTTACATTTATACATACCTATCTGTTTCTAATACATTTTCATAAGTCTTTGTATAAATAAAGGCAAACAGGACATCATTAATTGGCAACACTTCTTTATGTAACAATACAATGGAGAAAATTTTGTACTTTTTTTTGCTCTTTGCATATTAATGTCTACTTCAAAGACCACTTATCCTGTATTTTCCAGTACAAAAGAGGCTTTTTAAGTCTAATCCATTTGAAGACTGAAAAGCAGACCAGTTTTCCGCTTTCTGTAAATAAGGCTCATTTGTATGCTTTTTATTTATTGAATGGCATAGAGCTTGTTATTCACCATTATGAAATGTTCATATTCTTAAATTTTTGTGTATGCCTTTCTTTTTTGCAGACTAAAACTGGTATTGCATTGTTGTATGATGAAGTATCTGAAAATGCTTATGACATCCGACTGAAGCTTACAAAAGAGGTATTAACAATTCAAAAACAAGATGTCGTCTGTGTTAGTGGAAGTGATCACAGTGCAAATGTAAGTGCTTCTATATCTCTGTGCTTTTGGCTGCGCACTATAATGTCTTCTGCAGAGGATACCTTATTGTATTGGAGTGCAAGAGATTTTATTTGGTAACAGAAATACAAGTAATTATCAGTTGTTGGGTCTTCTGTGCATACCTACATTCATAAGTATAAAAACTGCATTTCTGACCAGTGCTATACATTCTTCATTATGGCATTTATAATCTTAATAGAAGCAAAAAACGTCTATAAATACCAAAATTAAGGCATTCTTCCACCAAATATTGCTAGGCCATTATATTAAGAGAAAAAAGGAAAAAGTGTTTCCCAGTGAAAGCATTTGAAGAGTAAACTGATATACCAAAGTTTTCTTTATTTGTGTATCAGACAGGATGTCTGTTCAAGGGCATTGAGCTGACTGAGAGAACACATGATGGGCACTTATTTCACTGTAATTCTCTTTCAGGCACAGATGGAGCTTAATCAGCGCCAGCACGTCTGGGGTGCTTTTTTTAACCAAGATTCAGTTATGCTGCATTTTCAAAGCCTGTGGTGCCTCTAAGCTATAGAGGAACCTTCTGTGTGACCATTTGGTAATGTCATTAGATAAACTGGTGATATTTTGCATAAGCAGTACAGCAAGGGTGTCTAAGTTATCAACATCCCTAAGTAATGCATTTCATTTCCTCATTTAAACAGTGTTCTTGAATTTGGAATACATGTACTTAATTTAACACTGTAAAATCAATTTCATGAACTTTGCTGGTGTTTCTTAGAGTGCACAATTCATGGCAGCCTCCTCAGAGTGGGCCAAGGGAGAGTATTTCTGTCTGCTTGCTGTATTGCATCCTGTAAACTTAAAATCTGGCACTTGGGGACATCAAGTGGGTTTGTGATAGTCTGCTAAGAATTAGAAGCAAAAAAGCATATAACGGGTATTTGTGTGTGTATATGTGAGTATGTTAGAGAGTCTGCCTCTATAATATGTAAATATTTAATTCCTGCTGCAGTAAATATTTATATAAATTGTTTAGTATCACACATAAAATAATTTGAAATAGCTTTTAGCAATTCAAAACATTAAGTACTTGTCCATGGAATTCTGTGGAACATGACTTGCTCTTTAAAATATTTTAAAAGGTTGATTGGTGACAGGCATGTCCACTTGAGGTTGGTTTGCTGAGATAAGTATAAGCCTCATTCATCAGCTTTGCATATACTTTCTGCTTCACTGAGAAGCATGAAAAAACACAGTTGTATTTTTTTTTACCAGGCATTGCTGGTAATGCTGATAAGTTGCAAGACTCATAGTAAAATATAATGAGACTTCAGTATATAGTGTCTGTGCATATAATTATACATGATTGCTATGGACTCGATGGTGTTCAAATGCCTTGTGTATGAATCTCATAGAAGAAGAATCAAAATTCTATCCTACATAGTCCTAGGTTACTTCTCGATTGAGTTAACACAAGCTTGGTACATCTGAGAAAATACTGTATCAAATCTGTGTATGTATTGATCAAGACCCAAAATACAGCAGGACACCCCCCACCCAACATTCTCAATCTCCAACCTAAAACAGTACAAAAACCCGCCCTGAACAACCCAAGTCTGCCTCTTCCTTTTAGTATCAAGATTTGGGCTGATTTTGATGCCTTTTGCTCCTACATTTTATGGATACCCTAAATAGTATTTCCTGATGGAAGACAGGGCAGGAATACAAGCTTTGATAATATTTAAGCAATCAAATTTTGAAATAAATTCTGGAAAGTAATATATCTTGCAGAGGAGGCATAGCTGGGATATGCAGCCACTGCATATAAAATGAATCAAGTTTCTTGGTTGTGGTTCATCACCAGTAGTGATCACAATAACGGATAGAGCCTAGAAAGAAGTGATTCCCAGGACTGTGCAAGAGAGACAGTTTATCTTGGTTGTAGAGTTAGTGTTAATGTGTAAAAGTAAGTGAATTTCAAGTCTAATTCAGATGATAATTTAGGTAAGGGTTGCAAAGTATTACGTGGCGCTAGGTATGACACCCATTCAGAAGGGATTTCTCCTACCTCATACTATTGAGAAATAAGAGTGGGCAGTCATGCCAAGCTCATGCCCTTTCCTGGGAAACATTCTTAACACTGTCCTTATTTTCCCTAAGTTTTTCACTGAACCATCTGAAAACTAAAATTTAAGTGTCTGATCTATTTTTTCTGTGTCCCTTACAAGATCTCCTCAAGGTCACTTTCTGAAAGTGTTATCTGCAGTCTTCACAGGATTCTGTTGTCAAACTCTAATGAGAAAAATGAATTACTGTTTTCATGGTCATATTCACTTTTTCTGCATTATATTTTGAACCAAATAAAAACTTCTGGACAATTAGCATTTAATATGAATGCAAATTGAGTGTAACGTGAAGATAAATATTTTTTAAACTTATATAAATTTCTAGTACATAGGAGCTCAAGAGCAGAATTTGAAATCAGGCTGAAATAGCTGGTAGTTGTCTAGTGCTGAGTTTGGCAAGTTTTACAATTACAGTTACATGACAGAAATTCCAGAGATAAATGCTTTATATTTCAGGTGGTAAAAGAGAATAGTTTTCATCCCTGTTCTGTATGATTCAAAATGTTAATGGAAAAATTTAACCTGAAAGTCAATGCTATAGCAGTCATAAATGATCACATTGTCTTACTGATTTATTCTCCTTTCTCTCTACTTTTTCATTCTCGGGTACTCCTAGTTAATCTTTATTTTACACATGGCCATTCATCAAATTAGTTAATTTTCGACAAAAATAGAAATAGCTTTTGCCTTCTTTTTGTACTCACCTCAAATGCATGGGAGGAGGAAAAAACTGGGTGTAGAATGACTTTTCCTCTTAGGTGGGATATTTGAATGGAAAATTATTGAAAAGGAAAGTTCTGTTTCTACTTGTGGTAATACTTTTTCTTCAGCAACTTACATGGGACAGCATTTGTGGGATGCATTTGCTTCCAGCATCCCTTTTACAGATAGGTTAATCCTGAGGAACAGTGGGGAAAGGATTTGCAGCTGTGCATATTTAGCTCTGCTAGTCTGGTATATTCTGAATGCTACACTGAGGACTGGCAAAGATATCAGTGATCACTAAAGCTGCTGTGATGAGTTGGACTTTCAGCAACAGAGATTATATCCAAGCATAAAAGTCTTACTATAAAATGCCTTTTACTACCATCATCTAGGTCTATTACTGTTTCATATTTTGTCATCTGCCATTCATTTAAGTGCTACTTTTAAGCATTGAGAAAGCTTCACCTTTGATGAGAAATTTTATACCTGCCTTACTGTAATTTAATGATAGTTCAGTCCATTTCACTTCTTGCAATCTTGGACTTGAGGAGAGAGTAATGAGAGAAAAACATGGTTTTTGAAATTCAAGGTGTATATAGACAAAATAATGTAAAATCAACTGGGTGTTTTTTGGTATTCAATGTTTTTTCGCAGCAGGCAAGCTGCTTTTAAGTATCTCTAAAAATCCTTCTGGATGTGGAGCTAATTAGGGAAGTATTTTGCAGTGTTTTTTAATATATTACTCTTATGAGAATAATTGTCTATAGAACTATTTATAAATATTTATGTAATTTATATTTGTGTCCTAAACTTGCAATTGTTCCATCAAGATTTTCAGACTTGGCAAATTGTGTGTTCTAAGCAAGTCTTCATGACTTGGTGTAACATTTGGGGTGTTCAGCTTTCAAGGATAAAGGATGTATGTAAATGCATCAGAATTACAGTGGTGGAGCTGCCCGCTATGTGAGAAAACACTTGGAATGTATCATGCTCTGTCTTGGGGTCGATGAATGAGCAGATTGAGAGCTTATGAGTTAGGGTAAAAGGGCAGAGTAGCAAGAGTGCCACTGGTGAGGGTGGCTGCTGCAGGCTCCTGGTCAGGAGGAGGGAGTGGACGAGGCCTCGTACAGGCGGCTCAGAGCAGCCCCACAGCCGCAGGCTCGGTTCTTGGGGGGACTTCAACCACCCCGGCACGGCTGGAGAAGCAGCACTGCTAAGCACAAACAGGATGGAAGGAACCTGGAAAGCATTGATGGCAACTCCCTGACACAGATAGTGGAGGTTCCCACATGGAATGGTGTGCTCCTCAATCTTACACTAAAAAACAGGGAGGGCCTTGTTGGAGATGTGGAGGCTGGGGGCAGCTTAGGCTGCAGTGACCATGAGATTGTGAAGTTCAGTGCAGAACAAGGAGAAGCAGGGCAGCAAGTAAATTATAACCTTCAGCCTCCTCAGGACTACAGAGCAACCTTTAGCCTCTTCAGGGGATCTTCTTGGAAGATTCCCATGGGAACGGGGCTTTCAGGGAGGAAGGGTTCCAGAGAGTTGGTTAATTTGAAGGATCGCTTTCTCCAGACTCAAGAACAAACCACCCCAGTGAGCAAAGAATTGAGCAAAGAGGTCATGAGACTTGCATGGATAAAAAGAAACTCCTGTCATTACACTTACTCAAGTGTAAGCAGGAAATGCAGAGGAGATGGAAGCAGTCAGACCACTTGGAAGTAATGTAGAGAGGTTGTCAGAGTACAAATGAAATGAAGGCCAAGTTTCACCTGGAATCAAATCTGGCCAAGGTTGTCAAGGGCAACAAGAAATGTTTTTTTAAATACATCAGTAACAAAAGGAAAACTAAGGAAAATGTGAGCCCATTACTACATGGAGAGGGGACCCTCATAACAGAGGATACAGAGAAGGCAGAATTACTGAATGCTGCCTTTGCACTGGTCTTCACTGGTAAGTTGAGACCTCTGGAATCTCTGACCCAAGAAACCAGGAAAAAGGACTGTTGGAAGACAGACTTTCCCTTGGTCAAGGAGAATGGGGTTAGAGAGCACCTAGGTAAACCTGATATCCAGAAGTCCAGGGGCCTGGACGGGATGCATCCACAAGTGATGAGAGGGATGCTGAATACCACAAGGCTGCTCATGATCATCCCTGAAAGGTTGTGGCAATCAGGAGAGATGC